AACATATCATAGCATGTATGAGAGAACCTTAAGTCTTATTCTTTTTACTTCAATGTTTCTTGTTATGGAAAAAAAAAAAAAAAGCTTTTTTCATCCATATGTTAGTCCCATTCTTGCTTTCTGCACCATTAATTAATATATGTTGTTCTTATGATTACAAAGTGCCTAGTTAAGATTTTGAAGAAAACTTTGGTAGTTATTCTAAAAAAGATAATATTAGTGGTGCTGAAGATTGGTGAAATGAATTCTGAGGTGAGTGGGCTTCTACTTCAATCATCTACACATGTCTCATTTACCTTTCCATTCATATGGATGGTGCACTCTATATTTTATCTTATAATTATTTATATGTATTAATGATGATTTCTTATTTCTTTGTAGGTTTTAATGGTGCACTCATGTTACCAAGTGTTCACATTGCTTTGGCATCCAAAAGAATATTTTAATTTCTAAAAATTGTGTGTGACATGATATGATATTAGAACGTGGTTAATTCTGGAAACCACTAGAGATCATTTCTTTTTATTTTTCTTGTTGTGTTGGTTTTATTGTGTGAAAGAGAGCATTTGAATTTGTTGTGTATCTTCATTCAAAAAAGAGATGTGATTTGTGAATAACTATGTTGTCCATCTTAATTACAATTAAATGGTATTCTAGTTTTGTTTTCACTCAAGAACCGAGACAATAGAAGGTTAATTTACACTTTGTTGAGTATGATTGTGATTATTGGTTTTATGCTTTGGTTTTTATAAAGTAGACAACATTATTACTACTTAATAATTTAGGTTTTTTAGGTTTCTTTTGATAGGTGTTCTTTTGAGTTTTGCAGGAGAGCAACTCATAAAGAGGGAATGAGTTTTAAATTTTTTTTATGAAATCTTCAAATAAAGGAGAGGTTAGGTTTAAATAAAATATTATAAATTATGATCTAATTGAATTGAACAAGGTTGAGTTTTAATAGGTTATTTTGCAATTGTATTAAATATTAAGTGTTATCCATGAAAGCCACAGTCAGAAAACTCCAAAATGAAGCTTTTGGTTAGGGATGTCAACGGAGTCTCGTGGGACCGGGGAGTCCCTCCCCGTCCCTGCGAATGGCGCGGATGGGATCTCTGCAGGGATTTTTGACGAGGGATAGATTTTGCCCCCCGTCCCCATTCCCCACCAATTAATATTAAATTATAAATTTTTTTGTCTTTTACATATAATTAATTAATATTTAATTATAATGAATAAAATTCTAAAAATTCAAATACAATTAACTAA